TATATATATATATATAAAAATAGCAATTACATTTTTCCACCCAAATTGTGCATTGTATTTTTTTTTCCATAGTTCTTGGTTGCTAAAAAACATCAGTTCTTTCTCTTTACACATTTTAATTTCTTTTTTTTTTTCCAGAAGAGGAAAAGGACGCACTCAGATCTCTCTGCTGCCACGCTCTCTGTACCGGCAGAGTGATCCAGATGCCAAAGCAGAGAACGGGACCGTTTCTGCACCACACGCCACAGTGACAGATGGAGTGCACGGAGGACCTGGAACCGCAAGCCTGGACAATCAAACCAAGTCTCTGTCCAACGAGGACTTTGCCAGGATGCTCCTCAAAAAGTGAAACTATATTCAGAGAACATGAGAAGAATACCTGCCTTCTGACAGAAAGCCATGCTGTGTCCTTACGAAGTCCGGTGGAGAAAGTGTTTTAATTTAGCCTACTTTCTGTAAATACATGACCACTCCCGATATATAGGAAAACTATTTTAACACCTCGACCATGGAGATGCCAGCTGTATTGTTTTCTTTATTTCTTAGTAATAACGAATGGGATTTGGGGGCAGATTTCAGATTTTGTCAGCGAGTATTTTTTTAACAGGATGTTAAAACAAACGATGTGATGATCGTTGTTTTAAAAGGTATATGCAAGAACATTTAATATGAAGATAGATGATGTATTATAAATAGGTTTCAACTCGGCTTCATTTCTCAGTAGGTCCTTTTTGGGGCAGCTGAAATGTAGATGCGTCCTGCACCTCTGCCTTGTCAAAGGCATCAACAAAAAAAATAAAGATCAAAACCTTTATTTTACATAATCTCTGAACTGCTTGTTGTATAAATAATTTATTTGCAGTACCACAACCATTTGAAACAGTCTTGCATGTGTAGATTTACAACTAATAAATAAACTGTCTTCATAAATGAAGACTAATGGAGTAATAGATGATCTTTACATACATCTGTGACTAAGAATTTCGACTTTTGTGTTTATTACACTGCAGCGCTTTAATTAAAAGCTGTACACTGTCCTGCCCTGGAAATGAGTAGATTCTAGTTTTGCCAGGCATTTTGTATTTTCTCCAAGCGCTGTGCTTTGAATCTTGTTTAATTGCTGACACAGCTTGTAAACCTGCCTTACCTTGTGTGCTCAATAATGGTCTGAAGATTAAAGCTTGTGCTCCGCAGCCAGATTCAATTCAACCTTCCGTCTAGAACTCCAGTTTTAGCTAATCTAGAACCTTAGATTCCACATGCGTTTGCAGTGATGTGTCGAGGGCTGGCTGAGGAGCACAGTTGCTGCTTTAGAACCGATTGGGTCCTTCCCGGAAGTTGAAGAATCTATGCAGCTGTATATTGCTAGAACCTTCCACTACGAGTTCACCTGATTGTGAACCCATCGTATACTGTATTGTGTGTGTATATACAGACAACATATATCATGTAAAATGTCCTGGATATTAGTATTATTTACTGGTTTTAATGGCTATGATGGACTTGTGTATTTCATCCACTATTAAATGTTAAGCTGATCTATTTTTTTAACTGCAGTGTCATACACTAGACAGTTCCCTCCCGTGTTCTTTTCATTGTGTTTGTTTCTCGTTCACACCCCTCAATGGTTGGCCATAGTTTTGTAAAGCATTTGTATATTTTGAACTAAAAAAAAGAAAAGTAGCTCTATATGTTTGTGTTTGATCACCACAGTGGCCTAAAGTAGTGATTGAGAAAAAAATAAAAAAACGTGCTGTTGCAATGTCTTGTTCAACATTAAAAATAATGAAAACATGGTATACATGTGGTAAATCGTGCACTTTCTTTTCTTAATTTGGTTTATTGTATCAATTATTTGATTATAGATTGGCCATTTTTATTTACCAGTCAGTGTCATCTTTAGGCACTCTTATAATTATTTCTAATAATGTTCCTGTTGTATTTCCTGTGTTGCTCAACTTGTGTAGTCATACGGTTTTATTTTTCCTTTTTATTAAAGCCTAAATTGTTTAATGAAGCAATTAAATGTATGTGGTTGTCAAATACGACGTGCTCATTTGTGATATTTTCTCATTTTGTTTTAGCCATATTTTTGTTTTGATCTTTTGTCAAGGGTACAGCTGACATTTTCCATGTTTCACAACAGTGCCATTATCCTATGTGAAAAGCTGAGAAGACAAATCCACCAAATACTACAAGGAAATGAGAAGTTGCACAATAATTTATTACACACAATAAAATAGCTTTTACGAGTAGTAAATAAATGAAAGCTATGTTTAAATAGATTAAAGTGCTTGAAAATAATGGCAAACTCAAAATCAAAAGACGTCAGTAAAAAAGTGTAAAAATAAAAGTTCCTAACATTATTATTAATGCAACTTTTCAACAATATTCCTACAATCAATAATACATCTTCCTTAACATTTTGAACAGCTGTGGGTAATTATAATATTCCTTGCATCATACATCAGAATCCTGGAGCAATCATTTTCATATGAAAATAGACTTGAGTACCATCTCAAAAAAAAGTTATTTTCAACTAAACTTTAAAGAACCTCAAAATAAAAAAATCTGATTATATTCTAAGGTTAAAGGTTAACTATTACTCAAACTGGCTTTGGCAGACATTAATTTTTGAACTTCTTTTTTTGCTGTAACCTGCCAGCTTGTAAGTGACAAATGTAACAAGCCATTCACAAAATGCACTTCAGCTAGTAAAGCATCTGAAAAACATCACTAAAGAACTGCAATCTTTCACATTTAACAGACCTGTCCTTTTTCCAAGCAAACTTAAAAAGAGATTAACTCAAGCTTGCATTTTGAGACTAGAAAAAAAGTCCACAAAAATATGAGTATGAATATTGTTCCCAGCAGACAGCAGTTCATTTATGCAACATTATTATTAACTCACATGCAGAAGGATGTAGCTGCTGAAGAGCTGACCTAATACTGTTCATTCAGTGAATAAGAGCTTTTCTTTCATTTCAAATTTAAAACCAACAAAGTAGAGGCTAAAATGTGGACATTAGTCAAGAAAGGATTTGTAACGAATAAAGCTACACAGTAAATGCACAAACTTGAAATGGATCAACAGTTTATCCATGTAGGTCCCATGCTAGCAGTAGAAGGTCGGTACAGAGGCTGATATGGCACTTCAATTTACGCCACATGCTATCTTTTTCCACTTACCAATATACATCTATCAGCTATGCACAGGTATGGTGTGTTTACAGTCAGGACAGGCGTGATGACTAGCCCCGGGGAGCCCCACTGCATGCTCACTTGTGGCTATCAGTAGCGTATCAAGTGTAATTTCAGTGCATTTCGCGATAAAGCGAATAAAGGGCCTTACGTCGCCCTCGTTGGCAGTATCCAGGGCGGTGTAATACTCCACCCTCTGCTCTTTCCGAATGGTGATCGGCGGATAACTAGCTTGCATTAGGATTAAATTCATGAGCAGGCGAGACGTCCGTCCGTTCCCGTCCACGAACGGATGAACGTAAACCAGTTTATAGTGCGCGAGAGCTGCCAACTCCACCGGGTGGAGATGCAGTGCTTCCTCCGAGTTCAACCACTGCACCAGCTCCTGCATGTGCTTGTCCAAGTCCCGCGGATGCGGTGGGATGTGATGGCCCACGAACACCTGGCTGGCACGTAATCGGCCGGCTTCGACGGGATCAGCGTAGCCTAGGACCCGTCGGTGTATCTCTAGGATGTCATTTACAGTGATCGCTCCAGTGCGGGACAGAAGTGTGGTGTTGATGTACTTCATGGCCACGTCGACGCCAATTGCCTCGTTCTGTTCTTGAAGACTCTTTCCTGGAACGGCGTATCTGGTCTCAATAATGTGGCGAATCTCGGACAGCGTGAGCGTGTTGCCTTCAATAGCTACGGTGTGGTAAATATGATGGTAGTAGGTCTCCTCCATGACTCGGCGCAGAGCAGAGTTGCCTTTGGGTATGGACATGAGACGTCGCACCTTTCCATCGATGATTCCAAAGTGACGCTGATCTATTTCCTCTACTAACGGGAGCGTGCGATCCCTGCTCACCAGAGCCTTCTCGTTGCAGGGCGAGATGGCGAGGGCCTTGGTGTACAGGTGGTCTGCTTGGACAATGTCTTTTTCCTCCTCCAGTATGGTTCCTAATTCAGTGAGCGCCTCCACAAACTCCGGGTTCATGTTGAGCGCGTGGACGAGCAGCTTATGAGCTTTCTCCCTCTTGCCATTTTTCCTCATCTCCAAAGCCTGCTGGAGAGCCGCCTTTGCCTCCAGCTGAGTCTCTGTAAACAAACAGATCGTCAGCGCTTCACAGTATGACATTCCAGCGGAGAGATGTATAATCAATAGACTTTAACACTTCAAAGTATGTTTCAGTTATTTTTCATAGTTTTATCTGTTTAATCTAAATGTCACAGTCTGTAAACCTGATTGCAATGAACTTCTAATGAGTTTTAGCGCCTGTTGAGATTTCAAGAAACCACAAATGTAATCATTTTAATTGTGTCCACAGAGGTGAATGAGACGAATATTAGGTTTGAAACATATATTTTAAAAAGAAATGCCATTTGTAAAAATTTGTACATTTCATTATTGAACATATATAACAAAACTAAAACAGAAAATTCATCAAGAAAAATAAGAGGGAGGGACTTGATTCATTGAGAAATGACTGAACCATAAAAAAAGAAGAAAAAAAAACAAGAAAAAAGCATTTTCAGATGTGTTAGTTCAGTAAAATTATTAAAAATTGTTTTTGCTCATTAAAATAAAGCTGAAATAAAATTAGCTGAAAAATGTTACATTTAATTTGAACAAAAATTTGAAATATATATTTTATATTATATATTTTATGTATATATAAATACACACATGCATGTATATATTTAAGAAAAATATTATAATTATATAAAATATTTAAAATATATAGAATAAAAAAAAAAAAAAAATATATATATATATATAGGATATGGATAGATAGATAGATAGATAGATAGATAGATAGATAGATAGTTTCTTGCCCTATTTACTTATTGTGTCTCCCTAAAATGGGACTACAGTGGACATGTATGAAAATGATGCATGTCTCAAAACAGACAAAACATATTCTGCTTTGAAACCGCACTAAAGTTGTAATTAGTCTGATTTAAATGATAATTACAAAATATCATATTTCCATAAGTGTGCTGAATTTAGTCAGAGTCGATATATGGAGGAGCTGTCATGGTTAAACTTCCAATTGTTTGGTATCTCTGAAAACCCCTGAATATGCTCTTTACCGTACATCCATATGGCATGTATGGTCTCAGAGAAATTTGCTAAGATATAGTATCCTCTACAGATGACAAAATTCTACGTCTGGGTCCCAGGAGAATAAGATTAAGATATAAGATTATGAAGTCTAACATACTTAATTTAGAATAACATGCATCCAAAAATTTATTTTAGAAAGTAAACAGCCAATTTTGATTGAAGACACTCAAGCTACTCATCAACACAAAGTCAGCATCAGCGACAACTGTACTGTACCTTTACTGGGCTTGACTTTCTGTGGCAGGAGGTCTAGTGCAGTGAACGGGACCGTCAGGCTGGTGGTGTGCACCACAGGCCGCTGCACACCCCCCCACAGCTGGCAGCGCAGAAGAGCAAGACCCTTCAGTGTGGCACAGCATTGCTCCTCTATTCCTGCTAAAGGCAGCAGCAGAACAAATACAGACCCCAGCAGGCCGCACAGAACGGATCCCCAGCCCCAGAGCAGAGGACCGCTGCAGGCGTGACGGAAAACTGCCAGAGCTGCCATCAATCACACGATCCAGACTCCACAGGACACGTGCCCAACATTCTTGCAAGACACTATCTGAAAACCAGTGTGAAATGTAAGAAAGAAGGTCAAGCATGAACATGTTAAATCAGGCTTGTTGTCATTTTCTCCAGTCTAATGTGAGCCAGGTGGCTCTTGGGAGTCTGACAGTTTATGAAATAGTCTTAAATCAAGTGATTTGTAACCACATTTACAGCCATGTCTCATGTTGACTCAGTCTGAAGATGAGAGGAAAATGTACTTATGGTCAAACACAGTGACATTTTTGAAACCACCTAAACCTGTATTTGATAAGTATAGCTGGCCTATATGCTGTAGCGAAACACAGTGACATTTAAGTATTTTTATAATTGTAATATTTAACACAATAGATAAATACTTCTAATATTGTAGATAAGATATCTGTCCAGCTGATATCACCTTAGGTAGCGTAGACAGTCCATGACTACAGCGCTTCATGACAAGTCATGACACTATTCATACATTTCTATAGAAAATGTTCACTAAACACTAAAACTGGCGGCAAGCTACGCGCTTTATTAAACAAGACGCAAAGTTTCAGACACACCTTACCGGTTAATGAAGTGTTATTCTCGCTATAAACACTGGATATGATCAGAAATGTTTGCACTGGCGTTAGCAACGTCAACTTCCGCCAAACGGAAATGGCCTACATGTAAGGATGATGTTGATTGGTTGATTTTACTTAGTATGTGCTTAGTGATTGGTCAGATGTTTGCCACACACCCTCGAGCAGCAACACATTTTTCAGATCGTAGAGCTACATGATTGGACAAGACGCTCAATAATAATAATAATCATTTTATAACCCTTTTGAAAGTTGTATAATAATAATAATAATAATAATAATAAAAATACATTGAAATAAAAAAGAAAACATGCACAAAAAATAAAAAAAATAAAAAAGGAGGAGGAGCGGAGATCACGCCTGAGGAATGTATGGGGTTAAAATATCAGACAAATATTGAGGGGCTAAACCATACCTTATAGGTAAGCATGAGAATTAATATCCACTCGAACAGTGACAGGGAGCCAGTGGGAGTGATGTAATCATTTGTATATGTATATAATAAAATTAAAGATACACATGAGTCACGCAGTTGTTTATTTATTTATTTTTGAGAAAGTTTTTATTGTCGTCGCTGTAGATCAATTTTATTATATTATTTTTTATTTGAATTAGAAGTCACTCCATGGCATTAGAAGTATAAACACTAGGGGTCAGTATTGCTTCAGTAATAAAATTAATCACTGTTGTTTTATTTCCTTCATTGAAAATCTTGGAAATCTTAGACTGAAGGAAGTCATTGCCTTTATTACACATACTGCATTTCAAACAAGGCCTTAGAAAATCGCTACCACATATACAGTTAACCTGTGAATCCCTGTCTACAGATACAGATGTGAATTTTGATATTTTGTCCAAGTGAAGATGAAACAGTAATCCATTTCTTCTTTTATGCCTTCAACATATATAAAACAAGTATACATTAATACAATAACTTCAAACTAATAATTTATTCTAGTGTAATTTGTGCTGTCGTCTCATCAATACTTCTGAAAACGTTATTATGACATGATTTGCTTTATTTATGAGGACTGTTTCACTGTTTCTGCACACCTGCACACACACATACACATCGAGATATTAAGGTGTGTGTGTGTGTGTGTGTCGTGGTTAAGGAGGCAATAACTGTGCAGAGTGATTTATGACTCTATTTCCGTTCTAAAGCTGGCCAGATGTTAATACTAAACACACTCAATTTTATACACACCAAGAGGAGAGAGACAGACTCCTTCCATATTAATCATATCTTAGATCGAATCACTAAACGTATTAAACATGGAATACAAATCATGTCCTTTGCAGACTTTGATGCATATCTGCATAAAGCAACCTGTATAAAGGCATCTTAGAGACACTATAATCATGTTTTCACTGAAATTACATTGGGAATAATCTCAATCATGGTTTCACATGAATTACTGAGGTCAGGTGGCCCACCTGCGGATCTAAAGCGTATGAATCACAGCATATAATGAGAGCAGTGTGCCTCATTCCTCTATAAAGCAATAAGCTTCAGGGCAGCAATGGGAACTCTCGAATACATATTGTTGTTGATGTTATTGTTTTTTTTTCTTCTACACTAACATCCCTGCCTCAGGCTTGGAGGATTTCAGGGCATCATACATTGCTTGTGTTACATTGCACATTATAAATCCAACACATCATCACTGTAAACTTTGAGTAAACATATTCAAAACCTTCCCCACACCTCCACCTCCATAATTATTCATAAACTGGTTTGTGTGTGTGATCTGCTTGAATGAGTATGTTTTGTACAGTTCATAAGAGCGTGTAATCAAAGCTTTTAGTGATGGATGAGGCGAGGGGTTACCATGGAAATGCAGAGACATGGAATATATGTCAATAGAGGAGGTCACAGAGAGGAAGGAATAGGAAAGCTCTGCCCTCTCTGGTTTCATAATTCACTCACCCTTCCATCCATTAAACCAATAAATTGATGTTTTTGTTTCTGTACAGATGTATGGTGACAGTAATGATATTTTTTAATTTATAAGCATGAATTTGATACTGCATGAATTTGCATATTTAACCTAATTTTCTGTTTTGCCTGGGAAATTGCTTTAATAAATGTTATTCATATTGTTTAGAAGGATCCATTAAATATATTTAGAAATCAAATCAATCTATGACCGTCAAGGGATACAGTGCTGCTTGAAAGTTTGTGAACCCTTTAGAATTTTCTATATTTCTGCATAAATATGACCCATAATTAGATTTTCACACAAGTCCTGAAAGTAGACAAAGAGAATCCAATCAAACAAAGGAGACAAAAATAAATACTTTGTCATTTATTTATTGAGAAAAATGATCCGGAGTTAAATATTCGTGAGTGGCAAAAGTATGTGAATCTTTGCTTTCAGTATCTGGTGTGTTCCCCTTTTGCAGCAATAACTGCAAGTAATGTTTCTCATACATTTACATTTAGTCATTTAGCAGACGCTTTTATCCAAAGCGACTTACAATTGGGGGATACATAAAGCAATTCTTCTTAAAGAGGCAAACAGACACAAGAAGTGGTTGTAATACCAAGTTCTTAGACATTGTTCAAATAAGTACAAGCTAGAAAGAGATGGAATAAATAAAGAGAGAGATTTTTATTTTTTTATGATGACGTCAAGTAGCTTCGAAAGAGATGGGTTTTCAGCTGTCGCTTGAAAATTGTCACATTGCGTTGCCGTCTGCGTGTGACCTTACGAGCGTTGTCGAGAGACAACCGGAATGGTTTGGAAACACATGATAGAGGTGGAAAAGAGAAGACAGAAAAGGAGAGTGTGTACAGGGAAGAGCTGCAGCCGTCTGTCTCTTCTGTTGACTAATCGCTTGACCCGTAACTGCTGATCAGTCCTGCACAACGGATACATTTGAGCCCATTCCTCAGTACAGAACCACTTCAACTCTGTGATGTTGGTGGGTTTCCCCCTATGAACTGTTTGCTTCAGGTTCTTCCACAAAATTTCAATTGGATTAAGGTCCGGAATTTGACTTGACCATTACGAAACAAATTCCATTCCAAAGACCATTCGCTTTGTTCTTCTTTAACCATTCTTTGGTAGAAAGACTTGTTTGCTTGGGGTCGTTGTCTTGCTGCATGACCCACTTTCTCTTGAGATTCAGTTCTCGGATAGATGTCCTGACATATTCCTTCAGAATTTGCTGGTATAGTTCAGAATTCATTGTTCCATCAATGATGACAAGCCATCCTGGACCAGATGCAGCAAAACAGGCCCAAACCATGATACCAGCACCACCGTGTTTCACAGATGAGATAAGGTTCTTATGCTGGAATGCAGTGTTTACTTTCTCCAAACATAACACTTCTCATTTAACCTAAAAAGTTATATTTTGGTCTCATCCATCCACAAAACATTTCTCCAGTATTCCTCTGGCTTGTCCACATGATCTTTAGCAAACTGCAGATGGGCAGCAATGTTCTTTTTGGAGAGCAGTGGCTTTCTTCTTGCGACTCTGCCATGCACACCGTGGTTGTTCAGTGTTCTCCTGATGGTGGGCTCATGAACATTAACATTAGCCAATGTGAGAAAGGCCTTTAGTTGCTTAGAAGTTAGCCTGCAGTCCTTTGAAACCTAGTGGACTTTTACACGTCTTTTGGAGTGATCTTTGTTGGTGGAGCACTCCTGGGGAGGGTAACAGTGGTCTTGAATTTCCTCCATTTGTACACAATCTGTCTGACTGTGGATTTGTGGAGTCCAAACTCTTTAGAGATGTTTTTGTAACCTTTTCTAGCCTGATGAGCAACATCAACTTTTTCTGAGGTCCTCAGAGATCTCCTTTGCTCATGCCATGATACACTTCCTCAAACATGATCAGACTTTGATAGATCCCTGTTCTTTAAATAAAACAGGGCACGCACTGACACCTGATAGTAATTTCACTGATTGAAAACAACCCTGAACAGATGGACTCTAATTTCAAAGTTGTCATCTGATTGGTTGAATTCAACAGGATTTCCGGGAGATGTGTGTCGCGTTCTTTAATGTTCTGGCTGGAAACAAAGATGTCGTGACGCCAATCCCCCTCATGAAAATCTATCTATCTATGATTTTATCTGTCATTCTATCTATAGGGCAGGGTGTTATATCAAAATGGGTTGGCCCTTTTCCGGCTCCTTCTTCGGGCAGCAAGGCAACTGTCTTGCCTTTGTACTGTTTGTGTGCCTCCTCCAGAAACAGAGATGGGAAACGGTGGTCTAGAATGATCCTTGTGCTTCAGAACCAAATAGGCTGCATGTGTTTGTGGTATGTGTTTGAAATAAACAGAAATAATCATGACTTGGTCTGCTCATTGCGTGAGAGCAAATTACTGTAGTATGGATGACTTCAGTCTCACCACTTACGTTTTTTGAGAAAGAGGAAGGCAAAAATTAAGAAATGGAAAGAACCTTTCACCCAGTAACATATACATCATCCAAAAGCCAGAGATACTATTTTAATAATGTACGTTCAGCCAGTTGTAATCGCAAAAATAAACCGCAACAGGATGATCTGCGATCTGAAAGCTTAAGCTAATTGCAACAGAAGTAAATAACTGGACAAAATATTTCAGCTCACAAAGCCTCCATGAAAGGAAACTCAAATATTATAACTAAACATTCAGGGGAAATGCTTTTAAAATAAAGATTGAAGAGTTTTTGGAAGCTTAGTGAAAGCCATGTTGAAATCATGCAACCGTGGGGTAGTTTGTTTATAGCCAGCGTTTAGCTTAGATTTAATATTTAATATTCATGTAGTGCTCTATAATAGACCTCAGAATGTAGTCACTGTCCAGTCAGAACAAGTATTCCAGAGAGCTGTGTAATAATTACTTTTAAATGTTTGCATTTTTAAATTAAACTTTTCATGTATGCTGATAATATCAAATGAAATATTTAAAAAGATATGGAAGAGTTCTCACTAGAGCTGTTAGACATCCAGATCCACTATT